TGACTCTATTAATTTGAAATTGAATTCAAATTCAAACGTGATTTTTTTTCATTATGTTTCAAAAGTTATTTCTTTCAAACCACGATGACCACTAGGGAGCTTTCGTAAATTTGTGCTCTTTTTTTTTTTTTTTTTTTAGCAGGAAGTGATTTTTGGCGCAGCCTGTAATAATAATCACAAGTATACTTTCATTCCGTGTTCGCGTTATGGGTTAAAGAGTGTTTATATCCGAGATTTTGCTTTCTAAATTTGAAGGGAGAAGTTCCATCTTGCCGAACGTCGCACTGCAAACAAGTTAATTGAAAACCATAATTCATCTACCGCCTTGTTTCTTTTACTTTTATAAGTTGTTTGCCCTGTGCGCAAAGTTAACACATTGTCGACCGGCAACTTTACACAGAAACTATGTCTCATGTGGCTATTACTTCGCAATTGAGTATGAAAGCGAAACAATCTAGATAAACTTCAATATACTTTATCTATATAGAATGAATTTAAAGGAACCTATATATATGTAATATATTCTTGTAATTTTTCTTGGTGTGATAAATTGTATAGCAATCACACAAATCCGTCTGCATATAATTCACTGAAAGGTTCTCCATCGTCGTGAATTGAAATTTTTGTGAACACTAAGACTGCGGAGATAAAAACCTAAATATCGATAGAATTTTTTTTTTCTTTTTCCATAACAAAGTGAACGCGACGAAGACAGATTTCACAAGATCCTGTATTACATACTGAGTGTCAAGAATTGAAATAGCCAATGCAAGTGCAAACACGAGTTAACTCCGGTTAAGCCTGGTCAACAACGCGTTCTTTTTTTACAATATACACATATATAAATAAACTGTTTTCGCTTCCTCGCCACTTGGCGAACATCGACCACTTCGATTTCAAGCGAAAGTTGCAGATACGTCTGTGCTTTTGATTTCACACGGCGGGGAAAAGAGGTTAAAGACCGAGTGAACCAATTTAGAAAGGTGATGCCGCACGACCTTTGAACCCGTACCTATGTCTCTAGCCTCAATACGTACACACACACACACGTACACACACACACACACACATGTACACGTAATTCGTGGAATTGGCTCTTACCTCTTCAGACTAGTGTGCTTCGTGCCGTTGAAAATTTTGTTCTTCCGATCGCTGCCGACCGTACTGGCGTCGCTGTTTATGCTGTACAGGCTGTCATCTTTGGTGACCTTGGACGTGTGCAACGTCGACTTCTTCACCACGGTGCCATTGTGCTTCGGACTCTCGGCGAGTAGTGCGTGATGTTGTTGTTGCTGTTGTTGCTGACCACCGCCACCGCCACCACCTCCGTGCTCCTCGATCTTCGTCGAAACGATCATGGCGGCTTTGGCCGTGTCGACGGACTTTTTCGGAGAGACGGCCACCACTTTGCCCGCTGGTTTCGAACCGATGGGAGGACGTTCCCTGGGACTCTTCTGCAACTTACTAGCACCGTAATTCGCTTGGCTCGAGTCTCCCGGCGGTGGTTTGTCCTCGGTCGGTAACATGTACGACAACATTGTCCTTCCTCCGTTCAGCTACGTCAAAAGAAACGAAAAAATGAAACAAATCACACTGCATTCTGCACTGCGGAAGTGACAATTGCCACGACAATATAAACATAATATAAATTGGTAATATAAACGTATACGTTTAGGTTTAGGTTTAAGTTTAGGTTAAGGTTAAGGTTTAGGTTAGATTTAGGTTTAGGTTTAGGTTTAGGTTTAGGTTAAGGTTTAGGTTAAGGTTAAGGTTTAGGTTTAGGTTAGATTTAGGTTTAGGTTAGATTTAGATTTAGGTTTAGATTAGGTTTATAGGTTAATATAAATTGGTAATATAGGTATATAGGTTAATATAAATTGGTAATATAAACGTATAGGTTAGGTTTAGGTTTAGGTTAGATTTAGGTTTAGGTTAAGGTTAGGTTTAGGTTAAGGTTAGGTTTAGGTTTAGGTTTAAGTTTAGGTTTAGGTTTAGGTTTAGGTTTAAGTTTAGGTTAAGGTTAAGGTTTAGGTTCAGGTTAGATTTAGGTTTAGGTTAGATTTAGGTTTAGGTTTAGGTTTAGGTTAGGTTTATAGGTTAATATAAATTGGTAATATAAACGTACAGGTTAGGTTTATGTTAGATTTAGGTTTAGGTTTAGGTTTAGGTTTAGGTTTAGGTTTAGGTTAGGTTTATAGGTGAGATAACACATTCTCCGCGTATATAAGAATCCGTAATTAAAAACTGTAATTAAATAAATAGTGCTTTCTGTCTTGTTAAATAAGTATTCAAAGGAATATTGTTCCTGTTGCAACCTTCTGTCCGTATAATTAAACGACTTTCTGTTTTTGTAATTTCTTTAAATTTCTGATTGATTTCTGTTGAAATCTCTTGCAAACAGATTTCAACCGATCGAGAATTTCTAATTTATCGTCTAACGATACAACTCAGCTGGTCTTCTTTCTTCTGGAGATCTTTGGTGCCATGGCTGGGAAATGTTATTTCTTACTACTGACATTAAATGCAGTGAACAGTCGACCAATATACTCTACTTTGCTGATTGAAAAGTGAATACCTTGTCGAAGTAATAACGCAATTCTGCACTGTTGCACGATACACGCTTTAAAAGATCTCTATTGCACGAGAGTTTAATGAAAAAAAAAACTGTGCTTTTTAACGTTATAGGGAGCCTAACCCTATACTGTAACATATAAACGCAGAGATCGATTTTCCAACGTTCGAAAAAATCGCCGGTGTATCCTCGTGCCATGCAAAAGAGAGAGAGAGAGAGAGAGAGAGAGAGAGAGA